ATCATACATTTAAAAATATCCTTACAAACTCACAGAATTCATAGTTTATGGTTTCATTCCAAACAGAAATCAATACACCAAGGGCCTCCTTTAGAGAACTACATAACCAATAACCAATCCCGGTTAGTGCTCAAAACAGCAGATTATGGTGAATTCTGGCTCTGTGTGATCACGGGAAGCAGGTGAAGTTGGAATCAAAGGACTAGTCATGTTTAGCAGCTGGGAGGAAATACAAATCTATTGGACTGTTCAGTTCCAGCATCAGTATCTTATGAATACCACAGCCTGACATTACAGCAAAACTAGGCCTAATTTTTATTGTTGACCTTATTTTCAGATGTAGCCTAAAAGCTTTCAAAACGTTTCATGGATAAATGTTAAACATTGTATGATTCAGATGGATATCAAATAAAAATTAAATAAAGCTACAAATGAAATATCCAGTCAATAAAATCAAACAGATTAGGCATCAGCCATCAGAGCTAATGTTAGACACGCACACACTGATGGTGGAGGTAAGCTACATTGTAGCTACAGCTGCCTTGCGGCTCACTGACAGAAGCAAAGCTGCTGTACACTGGCGCTAAAAGGCCCTCTGACCATCATCAGCTGGCAATGTGGGTGAGGTGTGTTGCCAAAGGACACAAAAACACTGAATGCTGGAGCTTTGCAATGTATTGTTTTAGTTGGGTTTTACGTATCTGCAATAAATTTTTTTCTTTGAAGATAAAAATAAATTATTACCACTCATGTTCACATAAACATCCTTGAAGTAGATCCATAAAAAGTTCACACAGACTTTTCAGTCAGAAACATTTCCTGCACAGTGGGAACTTGGTGTTGACGGCCTGTTGGAGCCCACTTTCACAGTCATGTTTTCAAGGTGATTGTTGTTTGGACTTACTGTGACCCAGCTGATCTGAGCTCCCAGATCTCTAAAGTAGAAGGTTGCCGTGGTTCCCACAGGAAGATGCTGCAGAACGTCCTCATCCTTCAGAGACTTCCCCTCTAGAAGACAGCCGTTACTGAACACTTAGATTTACTCAGAGGAAAACCTGCACAGGCTCAGCTTTAATTGGATCAAATGGAAAGACATACTGGGGTCGAGGCGAATAGACTGTCTGGCTGGGTACCACTGAGGGTCTGAAACAGAGAGATAAATAGCTCTGACTCATATAAAGGCAGAAAATAAAGTGTCAAACATATGAGACGCAGTAAAAACAGTACTTACGGCTCTTGTGGAACATAGACTTGATCTCCCCGATGGTGGCATTTGGCTCAACCTGCAAATACCATGGCAGTAAATAAACAAGGGGACACCCACTCATACACAAAGGAGCAGATCATAATCCTGTTTCCAATTATGATGGGGGTTAGTGGTAAATTTAGCTCCGACTGCTTAAACACCTCCTGGATGTGGGCTATCTAACAGCTGTTTCAGAAACAGCAGTTGGCTTGAATATATCAACACAAACAAAAACAAAAAGACACGGGAAGTAAACAAAGGCAATAAGTGCTGCTGTGTTCAGGAAAGCTGCACAAGAGTGAATGTTTAGAATCGACTAAAGCGGTCATCTTTGCTGTAAGCAAAGTAGTTTAGGTCTTTTTTAGGGTTTGGTTAACCCTGCAAACCTCAATGATGCAGCACCTTAATAGAACCCCCCCCATAAACATTTGAACCATCTCCTAAAACTTCTGTCTGTGACCTGTCCAGGACCTCCAAGTATTTTCAGCAGGATGACGTCACTGCAGTTGGAGCTCAGAAACCACCAGTAGGGTTCCACTGCTGGTCTGGAGCCGATGACCAACTTAGATCCTGCTGTGTTATGACTGCCAAAGCTGGGGGCTGGCTAGAGACAATGCTAACTTTTAAACATATTTTACCAACTTTTCTAAATGATAACATTTGATATATTCCTTTTTTTTTTTAATTTACAATCATGTTAACATAAACACATTTTCATATTTCTTGTTTCTGTAAAATGTACCAATAAAATTGGATTTAACCCCTAAACACTAAGGAGTAAAAAATAATGAAGAAAACATTTTTTATTCATCACTCATCTCTTTTGACCCCAAGACATATATTCCCATATTGAGAGAAAAAGATTATATATATATAATTACAAAAGTCTAAGAGCTGATTTACCTCAACCTCCGTATTGAACATTTGCAAAAAAAGGGAATTGTTCTTCTGATTCTGATAGATGAGTTCGACCAGCGAAATCTCAACTGGGCTCAGTCTGATGTCTAGATTCTGGTCATAGAGAGTGAGTACTTAGATTGCATCAGAGGCGGATCTTGGATTGGATCTGATTGTGTTGATTGTGGATGAATCATGAGAGGCATTTAAACATTTAACTAAGATCACTTTAGCTATATTGGTCAAATTTGTCTTCTGCTTAAAAATCATCCATGGAAAGCATTCCCACTATGATAAGCATGATTATCTTAATACTAACAGATGACTTTATGTCATCGACAGTGGTGTTTATGCTGGCTCCAATTAACTCAACATTGTTGAGATTTTTCTGTTTATTAATGTGTTGCAACAGATATTAAACTGTTACAATGTGCCCAGCTGTGCATGGTGGTATTTGCACAGCTGTAATTATTAACATGCCAGTGAAAAATCCTCCTGATGCCCTTTACGTTAAAGTAAATTATGTAATCATCGTTGACTGTACTAGACTAGTTGGTTAAAGTGAATCTATATCCACAGCAAAGTTCTCACAAAACGTCTGAAGATAGATTTTTAAATTGACTTGATAACGCTGCTCTGTCGTGGTCTGACTGAAAACTCTGTCATTTTAGCTCTAACCTAGTAAACGGGTCCTGCAGGGACCTTTCTGTCTACATCCAAATCTGAATCGGTCGCATCTTTGACTCTCTGGAGGTGATAAGACTGTGACCGTTATCACCATAGAAACTCTGCTAACTCGACAACCGGGTTTAATCTGTTCAGGATAGCACCTTACACTTTGTATCCTGAGGAGCAGCCTTTAATAAGCAGGGTTTACTTTGGCCGATGGCACCAGGAGTGTGGCTAATGAAACTCTATACACATACTATCAACACACTAAATCTCCCTGAGCACCAGCGGTGACAAAAATTAATCCATCTGACACATAAACAACTAACTTTGAGCCAGGCACTGAAGAGTGTAAATAAATCTATAAAAGCTACTGCTCTCCAATTAAAATGGAATAATGTAAATGTGTTATCCTTTCATCCATCAGCAGACATCTCACAAAGCTAGAGGAGATGGAGGACTTTATAACTGCGGTATTTAAAGTGATTTAAAGGAGTCCAATCTGAACATGATGATTTAATGAGATGACTGCAGTCTGGTGTGCTATTGCTTGGTTGGAAAGAAAACCTGCAGCCACACGGCCCTTTCTGGAACCTCTTTGACACCCCTGCTTTAACCAAAGGAGGAGAGAGCAAGCTTGTCACCCCCATAGGGAGCCTATGACATTACTATGGCAAACTGTGATGCAACACGTAGTCAAACCACTGCAGCCTGTGAACATTTTCATGCAAGCTGAAGTCTTGGAGTCAACCTGATCCTGTCATTTCGAGACAGATTTCTTGAATCTAAAGCATTTCGGTCCTCAAAATTTGAAATTTTTGTCTGAGCCGATACTGGTTGTAATAAAGGTTTGATTGGTGCTAGGAAGCCTCAAGTTCACTGTGCCCAGGTAAAACAAAAAAAAAAAGGGGGGGGGGGCTAGGATCAGTTTTATTTTACTGAAGTAAATAAAAACAACTTAAAGGGATTATTTATAAAAAAGAAAAACTAATAGAGTACTGCTTATAGTATCAAAGGTTTATCAAAGGCCAGTTGCTTTGGAACTTAGTGGGTTCCTGTATTTTCAGGGCTAGTTATGAGTTGTTTTGCTAATGTATTATAGTCATTTCTGAACATAATTTTTCAGGCTTAATTGTGTTTGTGTTCTTGAACATCTAAAAATTTTTCTGCAAAATAAATGAATAAAGGAGGCAATAACCGAGAATTTGAAAAAGGCAAGAAACCTTCCACTGGAAAAAAAATCTAGTAAAATTTTCATAAATTAAGAGTTTTTACACTTAATTGCAATAGGTTAATAAGAGGATCTGCCAATGGAATGAGTATTTTTTACTCTTAAAATGAGATATTTAGATAAAATGTACTTGAAATATGACAATGTAATTGTGTTTCCTTATTTACTTATTGGCAAAATGTCTCTTTTACCTCCTCAATTCAAGAACAAATGCACTTATTTTAAGAAGAAATGACTTGATTTTTTCCAGTGTGGACTGAAACGTAAAGAGAAAGAGAAAATCACGATAAATGCATATTTCATTCATTTAGCTTATAGCTCTATAAAGTTTTAAACACAGATTATTATTTTGAGTGAATTTGCACATATCTTATAGAAAATAACTCAATGTCTTTTCAGAGCTTTTTCCATCTTAGGATGGAATTTTATGTCTATTTTTATTTGTGAAACAATTTAGGCTCAGCAGGAATTGAGGGTTAGAAAGAAATTAGAACATAATCCTTACATATTCCCCAAAGCTAAGACCATTTAATTAAATGATTTGATGCAAATTATTGGTACCAGGAAGCTTTTTCCTTATCACGATCAAAATATTTTATACCGAGAGGCTTAAAAGTTTAATCAAATCTAGTCACACAACCTTCAAAAGTTACAACTTTTATCGCAGGCATAGATGGAGAGACGCTGAGTTTGGAGGTAGAGAACAAACCAATTTTGTATGATTATTCCTATTACAAAGACCCACAAAAAAAAAAAAATTTTTTGGCAGAAACGTGTGTGATGGAGAGATTTAATTATTAACCCTTACTGCATGTTTTTCTCCCATGAACTGAATAATAATATAGCGCACGCTTGCCTCGAGCTCAAAGGAAGTTGGAGCAGAGCAAGATGGGAGAAACCATGGAGGATGTAGGCTTTGCTTTGCACAGGCGGTCTGGAACGGAGCAGGGCGGTTATGGAGGATGTGGAATCTGGGGGTAAATCATCCCACATGGAGTAGTTTCTTGTGATTGGCTTATACAAGGGAGCTTTGTGATTGGAGGCAAGCCATTCTCTGTCTAAAAAAATGCATTTGTGCATCGAGGCAGGTCAGGGGAGTCACAAAAATCCACGCACAAATGCAGTGAATTTAAGACGACTGGTACTTTGTCATTTAATTCATAGCCGTTTATGGACCAGAAATATTTTGTTGAATCTTGTTCTGTGTGTGTGTGTGGATCTTGTACTGTGTGTGGATTTTTTTGTGCTTGCGTGAATCGTTCTGTGTGTGTGTGGATCTTGTCCTGTGCATGTATGAATCATATATGTGTATTTGTAAAAATTGAGACCAATCCAAAGGGCATTGTCTGGTCCATTCTAACCTGAATATTCTTTGATCTAAACCTTAAGATTGCTGGCTGTATCACAGAGATGTTGGAAGGTAAACCTCCACCCCAGTCTAAACTCTGATAGGTTTACAGACTTCTTTGAAGATTTCCTCCCCGTTTTAAATCCATTCATCTTTGAATCAACCATTTCTTTCTTCCTACTTAAAAAAAAGCATTATCCTGACAGCATGGTGCCACCACCTCCATAAGGGTGGACAGGATTATCCACATGTGCATCAAGTTTTTGCATGTATGCAAGACAACTTTATGTTATCCTTCACTAAATCATTTGAATATATTAAACTTAAAGTTGTGTAAATAGTGTGGAGAATCAGCTAATAAAACTGAATATCTAATTTATCATAATAAATACTCTTTATGACTATTCTAAATAAAATTAAGCAGCAGTCGATGCAAAACCACAAACCTAAATATACATAAACAGGAGTTCCATCTAAATATGACAATTAACAGCGAAATGAAAAGTCTACATTATGAAATCTTCACTGTGTCTCTTTGAACGTCATCAGGAGAACTAAGCCGGGTCTGCAGCAGCGTCACATGAATGAAAGGCACTCCAGAGGGTGTCCCTTTTACACTCAGGGATAAATGCCCACTGACTGACAGTGGCCACAGCTTCAGCAGCCCTGCCATGTTCTAGAAAACACCCATCTTCCACACAGAGAGCCTTTATAGTAATAGATGAGCTCATAGGTGCATGCGCTGCAGTGAGCATATGGATCGTTAGACAATTAAGGGTGTTAAAAGTTTGAGGTGACTTGAAGTGTAATTTCAAGATGAAATCAAATGCACCAAATCAGAGTTAGAAGAGAAACTTCGTACCTTGTCCAGGAAGCAGAGCTTGTCCTTGGTCTTGGCGTCCAGTATCTCCACCTCAAAAAAAACAACAGCCTTTTTAGTTTTTTTAGCAGGTTTACGTTTTGCAGGGGCTTGACCTGTTGGCACAACAGCTGCTGCCACTGCGGCGTTATTCGTCTTTTTCCCACTGGCCTCTAACGCCAAGGCATCCATGTCTCCTTTGCTCCTCCTGCTCACAGTGAATCCCCCCTTGTTCCGCTCAGTTCTACAGCGACCTCTCCAGAACCACGCAGAGAGACGGAGAAGAGCGAGGTGAAGCTCAGCTGTGGAAATAAATCTGTCGCTTGCCTCCTCCTCCTCGACCCCACCCTCTTCATTCAGTTCTCTCTGCCCACCTCTCACTTCTGCTCTGCTGCTTAATTTAACAGCCGCCCAACGCCTTGCAGAACAAACATACTTCACAACAGTTGCAAGAAAAGTATGCCAAGCATCTCCAACGCTGAACTGGAGAGAATAAACCTATTCCCAAATAATTGTCTGGAAATGAAACTTCCCTAAAAACAGACCACTTTGACCCCTGACACCTCAACCTCCAGCTCAGAGAGAGGAAAGTAGAGAGTTATAACGACAAGCGCCGCTTTCCTTAACCAGCCTGCACCCGTCTTCTTCTCCACAGCTAAATATAAACATCTCATAGCAGCTCTGTCCATGAAGCCTTTTCCCATCTGACCCCACACAGATCTGTGCAGTGATGTCATGCTTGACTTTCACCACAATATGTCGGCTTTAATCGGAGACCGCTCACGTCCCACAGGTCTGTCACAGAAGGCCAAAACACTTCATGGGTTAGTGAGCTGGACTTTAAAACTCAACCAAACCTTTCAATCCAACACTAACAAAGAATAAAATGTAACGTTTACCACCAAGAAGCACTGAAAAAAAATCTTAATTTTCTGTAGGTTATAGGAAAAAACAAACAAAAAAAAAACCCCTCCTAAAATAACGCTTTTTCTCGGTTTTAAGAATTGCAGCATGCTTTTAACTACTCTATTTAGAATTTTGAATGTTTCAGACGGATTACCTAAAGAAGCTTAGGTATTTTTTAACATCCACGTTAGAGAGGGACATTTTTCTTAAGGTTTAGGACTTATAAATTGTTCTGCTGTGTTACAGCCAACCAGGAAATGAAAACATGGAGTCAGCACCATCTAAACAATAGTTTTCTTTTCAATATAAATACTTTTTTTTATTTTGATTTTTTGGCCTTTTTTTTAAATCAAGAAATGTATTTTATTAATGTATAAATTAAAGTTAGCCCCACATAAAGCAGGCAGGATACATGACACCACAGCTGTGACTTCAGGGAAACAACCCCATTCCATTCTTCAGGCCAGCTCCGCTGTACCACCCCTACCCCTGCCTGCCAGATAAAACCGTCCACACGACAGTTAGAGGCTGTAATTCACTCTGTGGCGAGGACGAAGCAAGAAGGACTCCGTTTTAATCACTACGGCGAGCGGACCACAACTTTTCAGCTACCAGATTTACAGCTTTCCTACTCTGATGTGTGCGTTGGTTTAGAGGTAAAACTTGATGTTTTTTTTTTCAAACTGATGAAGTGTAAAGATAATGTGCTGAATACAAACATAGACAAACTGAATATATTGTTGAGGAAGGGCGCTGCAGCGCTGCATTTCTCTTTGCTCTCTGATATAATTTATACCGAGCTGATTTTTGGAGTAATAACATAAGCAAACAGATACTTGAATGGAGTTCAAAGCAATCTCAACTTTAATTAATTCTTCTCATTTGATGAATTAATATATAAAAATATAATTCAAACAGACATGTTTTACATCCTGAATGATAATGTCTTTATTTAAATGATCAAATAGAGAGAAAAAACTAACCGCTTTGCCTGGTGATCAATTCCTCAATCTTGAAAATTCCATAATCAAATCAGCAATCAGCATTCAGACTAATTATGCTCTTTAAATCTTTCCTAATTCCCTTTTACTGTGTTGCAGGGGAAAATTAACCTGCAGGACAAGGACGCGACCATCAGATAACGCAGCCTTCTTCAAGACCAGCGTGGGGGTGTGCAGCAAACTGTGATGCAACAAGTAGTCAAACCACTGCAGCCTGAGAACATTTTCATGCAAGGTGAAGTCTTGGAGTCAACCTGATCCTGTCATTTAGAGACAGATTTCTTGAATCTAAAGCACTTTGGTCCTCAAAATTTGATGATCAAAATGTCTCCTCTGCAGTTATAAAAAAAAATGTCCCACCCACTAACAGGTGGACTAATCAGTGGTGTTCACTTTCCCCTTTATAATCCCATAACGCAGTGCTTGATGGGTGCGTGTGCAATTAATATAGATAACATAAAGCTGTGGAGCATATCTTATTATACTTATATTTTACTGCAACAGTTAATATTCAAAGAATGAAATATACTGCTTACCAGAGGTGTGAAAAGTAAAAACATTTGTTACTTAAGTAGAAGTATAGATACTACCATTTAAAAACACTCTAGTAAAAGTTGAGGTATCAAGTTGACTTCTTTACTCACGTAAAAGTGAAAAGTATGTGCTCCAAAAACGACTTAAAAGTATAAAGTAACCTTTAAAAAAAACAGCCGGATGCCACTATATGAATTGAAAAATTCTTTGATATAGGGCAAAGGATGAGGGAGGTCTTGTTGGTCTCTATCTCCTGATACGCTCTCGCCTGTGTCCGACCTTTCAGACACTTCAACATCTTTTTCTGAATCAGACATTGTAGCATGGTATAGACAATTCACGTTTGTAGTTTGAAGAACACCTGCTTGCTTCTGATGATTTCCTTTAGCTAACCAATGAGTGTTTGCATTATATGACTAGTTAGGGTTAGGGTTATGAAATAAATATATAAATATATATATATATATTAAACCGAAGCCAAGAGTAACGAGTAACGTTTGTTTTACAAATGTAAGGAATAGGAAGTACAGATACTTGTGTGAAAATGTAATTAGTAGAAGAAAAATAAGTAATGGAGTAAAGTATAGATACCTAAAAAGTGTACTTAAGTACAGTAACGAAGTATTTGTACTTTGTTACTTGACACCTCTGCTGCTTACATATAGGAATAAACAGTGTTAGCACCACATATGCCAGTGACCACTGTTTTTCTTACAGGTGCCAGAAATCCATATTTGCCCTGTGAAGGGAAATGGGAGCAGACCTGCCAGTGGTTGAGTCAGTTTCTGCCAGACTACTTCAGATCCTGTCTGGTGGGTTTAGGGTGTTGGTGTAACTGTGAACTGATGTAAATCTGTACGCCCTCAAAAGTTTATCTGCTCCTTATCACACAGTTATTGTCATTTTAGTGATGAAATAAGTCTGATCTACATTTTAATCCGGCTGAATGTGTTTTTTTTTTTTATTTTTTAGGAACACCACCAATCCATAGGTTCACCTGACATCTCAAGCTGTTTGACTGAATAGGTTTGTGACATTAAACCATGTGGATTCGTTTAAAAAAAGAGCTGAGCGCGCGATCATGACATTTCACCTGCATACTTGGATAAGCTTGAGCAAGATAAGGAGAGCCATGGATCATTCCAGCCAGAGATGGCGATGCTGTCGAGCATGTTTCCTGCAGCACGAGTTCTTCTAATAAGCTCAATTAAAATACAGATATTAAATTAAAGATCCGCTGTGTTTTTGAGACGATTTGTGCTGTGAATTTCACCAAAACAGGCCAAAAATTTGTTCAGATATCAGTCCATTATATGGTGCTAACCGGGCTAAGCTGTTCACTGCTAAAAATCTAATTTCTGAACCCAGTTAATATGACCTATAAACACAGAGACATCCCAAACACACCGACAAGGTTTAATTTATTGAATTTAACCCAAAAGAGGTCTGGTTTAACAATGTATGAACACCACTCACCTCGTAGTGCTTCATCTTGGCAGTTGGTATCTCTTCCTTATTAAACCCGGATGAATGACGGGTCATCGACCAATCAGCGTATCGACATTAGGCGGATGAAGACATGGTGGGTGGGAACCTAACGTTCATACCAGCCAATCAAGTCCAGTAGAAGTCAGGCGACCACGCCCACGTCACTGAATGTAGCCAATGAAATTTGCGCAAAAGATAAAAGATGGATAATAGGATTTACTTTGGCACTGTAGTTTACAATAAGACATATGTATTGTGCTTCGTATGTATACATTTCAAAATGGTCAATTTCATTCTTGAAATATTGCTTATTACTGACCAGTTAATTGCCTGTTCTTATTGGCTCAATTTTCTGGTTGATTTATTAATAAAACAGAATTATTTTTATTTATTAATAAAACTCCCCTTTGAGAGGGGCTTTGCTGGAATAGTGGTTACAGCAGTGTGAGTTAAATGCAGAGGTACATTTCTCCAGTGTGAGATCAATAAAGTTAAATTAATATTATTATTATTATTATTATTATTATAGAGAATAAAGCAGTTCCCTAAATATTGGTTGAAGTGAACCTTCAGGAAATATCCTGGGATGGTTCTCTGAAGCATCACAGCAACACGTTGTGATTTACATATAATGTTTTACTTATAAATCAATTTGCGTAAATTTTGTTTTGTTGATTTGTGTTAAATGATTTTCCAGTCATTTAAAACAAAATGCCTGGAAATGAGTGAGTCTGATGCAGTTTCCTAGAGATTACTCTCCCATAAATAACAGGCCCTTAATCTGAAAAGTGTCTATACTGTTGTTTACCTTTTGTTGAGATGCTAAAACAGTGCTTTCAGTGCCTACATGTTATTTTACTAATAAATAAGTAAAGAATTACACAGACTACACAGTAGTTGGCATGTGTTATTGCACAGTGAGAGAAAAGAACATTACCTATTATCTAATATTCTTCTCTCTGGCTGTGCAATAACACATGCCAACTACTGTGTAGTCTGTGTAATTATATACTTATTTATAAGGTCAGTACATTTCTGCAGTGCAGGTGCAATATTCCAAGTCAACTCCTCTGTAGTCTTTCCTTAGCTCTCTACTGTGCAGATATTTTAATATCTAAAGGAAACAAATTCCAGGACATCACAACTTAAAAAAAAAATCTTTTGTACTATATACTCACTCTTTTTAAATTGTCTGTTGCATTTTTATCTTAAATTACATCTTGTTTAACTCTTTGTATTCTATATAAGCGACTGGAACCAGAGATTTTCATCCATCCATCCATTTTCCTTCATGCTTATCCCAACTGGGGTCATGAGGGGTGCTGATTCCTCAAGCTGTCTACAGGCAAGGGCCGGGGTACACCCTGGACAGGTCGCCAGTCTATCGCAACCAGAGATTACCCTGAAGGAGTAATCCCAAGGGATAAATAAAGTTGAGTCTAAGTTTTCAATGTTTAAACAAAACTCCTTCTGTGTCAGCTCATTAGCTTCCAAGTGAGTTTGCTATTACATTCACCTTAATGTCACCTCTATTACATGAGAAGTAGAAGCTACTTCAGCCTTTCCTTCCCATGAGTCCTCATCCGATAGTTTACTGTTTTACTGTATTTGAAAATACACTGATATGAAAGTAAACGTTGGCCCAATATGATGACACTGTATCTGGGACATGTTGGTGAGACTTCAGACATGCTTCAGCAGAGTTTGCTCTGGTATGAGCCACACCCAAAGAAGTGAAAATCTACCTGTTAAATGCCTAAAAGGCAATTCTGTTCTCTAAATAAGCCCTCACTGTATCTTTAAAAAAAAAAGGTTTGCTGTTTTTCAGTGTAACAGTGGCCTGGCTTTCTTGGGACTGTAATATATTTTTTCAATGCTGAGGCTTATTTATGACATCAGATCAACCGAATAAACCACATTTGGATCACAAATATAGTCAGGTTTCATGCATTTCACGATGTACAAAGAAATGAGTGTTTATACAAGACTTAGATCTAAGGTTCTGAACTTTGTTATAAGGGCCACTGCTTAGATTCGGGGCTGTTGGTAGGGATATTACAGCCCACAACAGGAACAAGGGCCAGTAGATTTTTGTTTAATTCCATTTAACTTAATTTGAGAAATAAAAGCAATGTTTTAAAACTGTGGGATCAGCTTATTTAAACATTCAGGCCTCAGGCTAACATACATTACCAGTACAAGATCACTACTGTGTATTATTCCATGCATTTTTTCACACTTTTACTGTGATACCCCTAAGTTTTAAACGAAAGGATGTTTGAATTTTTAATACTAAGGTTTTTCATGTTTAATATAACAAGTTAGATTAGTTTAAGTCGCTTAAAATGGTCTCTCTTTTTCAATTGTACAACAATTGTTGCTTTAAATGAAAGAGCCATGAGGTTAACGGATCCAGGTGGGCGTGGCTTCGTGTGTGACGTTACAGAGGAGCTGGTTCTGGCTGCATGTGGAAGAGTCTGGAAGTTTCCACGCTGTTTATAAAGAATACAGTTGGAGCGCGAGCCGCACACGTTCAGGCAGGGCACGGACTGCTAAAGAGCACCAAAAACTTTATTAGAATATTTAAAACTAAAAAAAAGGCAAGGGCCGCTGGACGGTCAAGATGGGCAAGGACTACTATGACATTTTGGGAATCAAGAAAGGAGCATCAGAGGACGACATAAAGAAAGCTTATCGTAAGCAGGCTTTGCGTTTCCACCCCGACAAGAACAAATCACCAGGAGCGGAGGAGAAATTTAAAGAAATCGCTGAAGCTTACGATGTTTTGAGCGACCCGAAGAAGAAGGACATTTATGATCGTTTTGGAGAGGAAGGTAATCATCATCTGAAACTAGTATGTGGATGGGCTAGTTAATAGGGGTTAGCTGGGTTAGGATATATTAGCAACCACTGTCGATATTTTAGGTCAAATGGTCGTTAACGATAATCTGTTTGTGTCATGGCGCTTTGTCCGTCCTTCATGGTGAGCTTTACCATAAAAGGCTCCATCGGACAGGACACACTTAATGATGATTTGGGACTATAACGGTCATTTAACATGAGTAACGTTATCTGCGCTGCTTAAAGGTTATGTGTTTGGCAGGAGAGGCAGGGTTAGCTTCATGTGTTTGTAGAGATGCTACTGGTATTAGCCTGCTGTGTGCTTGCTTTAATTTCAGCAACAGAATAATACGGAAGACGATTAGGGCCACTGAAAAAACAAAAAAAGTTAACAGATATGTAAATTTTATTTCAGTATGATAGGAGAAAAAAGTCGGAATTCTGACTTTTTCTTTCAGAATTTTGACTTTTTCTTTCAGAATTTTGACTTTATTATGAGAATTCTGGATCTTAATGTAGATTAGCACCATGAAGGAAGACAAAAGTCAGAATTCTGGGGGAAAAAGGTCAGAATTCTAACCTTTGTTTCCCCATATTAAACTGAAATAATTTTTAAAAATCAGATAATTTATTTTTATTTTTCCAGTGGCCCTAATCCTGAGATTAAAGTGAGAATTCTGAGATTAAAGTGAGAATTCTGAGATTAAAGTGAGAATTCTGAGATTAAAGTGAGAATTCTGAGATTAAAGTGAGAATTCTGAGATTAATGTCAGAATTCTAACTTTTTTCCCCCACAGTAAACTGAAATAATATTTAAAAATCAGTTTACTTTTTTATTTTTTTTCAGTGGCCCTAATCCTCTTCCATAGACTAAAGAAGAGCTGAAACTGAGTTGAAATTGTTTCGCTTAAGTGACAGAATGCCCCACTACGTCTAATTTAAGATAATTAAAATGATTAAGAGTGGGATCCCTGTGTGCAGGCTATCTTGATGCGTTGCCATGGTTGAATTTATTATAGGAATTGTGCTCATTTTTAGAGCCCATTTTTATTTTGAAAGAGGTGAGAGGGGTTAAAAGTAGGCAGATCATAAAAAGGGTTATTGCTTTTAGTTACTCTGTGATCATAGACATCTGTCCGCATAGGATGAGTCAGAGTATATTTATAGATAAGTATTTTATACAACTCTGTTACAGACTAACTGCTAGTTGAGAAACATAAAATGATTATTATACGACTGGCATTACATGTAGGCTTTATATTTAAATAAGAGGGTTGGGTAGGAAAAAAACGTATGTATGTTCATAAATATGAACATAATGGAAGCTTTAGAAATGAATAGAAAACAAAAAAGAATCCAGATTTAGTTCAGGTAAAGAGCAGAGTCTCAGCTGCTCTCTGGTTTTTAGCCAAGGGTGTTTTGAATGAACATTGAACCATGACATGGATTAAAGATTTTACTCCAAATATCAATAGAAGACTGAGATTTGTTGGGCAAAAGGAGCTAACATGCAGAACAGGCCAGATACCTTTAAAACTAAACAACAAAGGAAGCGCTAACACCCAGCAGTATTCAATACACGGCATATAAATCATTGTCATAAAAAATAGCTTTTTGATCTTTGCCAATCTAGTGTCTTTTTTTAGCACTGTTGACAATGAAAATAGCCATGTTCAGTTGTATTTGATAACCTATATTATGTGTAAACATATGCTGAATTACTGTTTATGAGCTTTATTTTCATTACAATTAAATCAGATCTCCCTTTATTAAAGTCTTTGAAAACAAAACAAAGTCTAGTTTGAATCAATGATTACTCTTAAGTGACATTTATTGTTTTCATCTTAAATGCATTGTTTTCTTATTTTCTTTATTTAGGGTTGAAAGGTGGCGGAGGACCAACAGGGGGCAGTGGACCTGGCACCTTCAGCTACACCTTTCAAGGGGATCCTCATGCCATCTTTGCAGAGTTCTTTGGTGGGCGTAACCCTTTTGAGCAGTTTTTTGGTGCTCGCAATGGAGGTATGGAGGAGGACATGGACACTGATGACCCGTTTTCTCGATTTGGGATGGGCGGCGGCGGCGGAATGGGTCCCGGTGGAATGGGTGGCTTCTCACGCTCCTTTGGCCCTGGGATGGGAGGGATGGGAGGAATGGGGGGTCACACTAGCGTTGTAAAGAAGCAGCAAGACCCACCAGTGGTTCATGATCTCAGGGTGTCACTAGAAGAGGTGTTGAATGGTTGCACAAAAAAAATGAAGATCTCCCGAAAAAGACTCAACCCTGACGGCAGAACAACCAGGTCAGAGGAGAAAATCCTGGAGGTGCAGATCAAGAAAGGGTGGAAGGAGGGCACCAAAA